CCACGCCTCTGCTGTTCAATCACATCTGATTCTTGCTTCGCACTTCTCGCACACAATTTGTTTTTTTATCCGCCTCCTGTTTCATATTTCCTCGGAGCAGCGGGAGACTGATGAATAAATGATGATGAAGTGATGAATTAGAGATGAAAAATTAATAAGTGATGGCCCGAGATAATGGTTGTCTGTGGTCACGTGACCCCGCCCCCCGTCTTTACTGTTTGCGGGAAGTCTTGTCAGTTCATTCACCGTGAGCACGAGGACACACACGGATGATGCCCGAGCTCCAGGTGAGTTTGACCAGTGTAATAGTACTGCCGTATAACTTCCGTGTCAGAGTACTCATCACAGTACTACTACTACTGTAGCAGGTTCTACTCACAGGCTTCTAGTGTTGTTTATTTAACAGTCAGTGAATCAGTAAGTTGTTTATATACGATGTGTCGGTCCGTTGTTAGACGTAACGGTAGATGGCCCGGTGTGCAGGAATTACCACAATCTGTGGCTCTAGCATCTTTATATATACACTTGACTTATTATAAAACATGGGAACTGACCTGGAAACTGTTGCAGAGGATCATGTCGTCGTCAGTCACAATATAAATACCATAAACACAGTCATTAAAATGACAGACAGCTGAAGAACAATGATGATTATTTGTTAAATGACTAATGTTACTGTGACATATCCATGAAACACATGGTTATAACTTTAAAGGTGATTTTAAAGGTTCCACTGCTGATAAAATGACTCATCTATGTAGTACTACATTAGTCACAGTACATCTGTTATAGAACTCGTATCACCACATGATTCATACTACTACTACTAACAACAATGAAAAAGTCACTTTCGGCTTTTCCCGACTAGGGGTCCCCACAGCGAATCGTCACACTGACGACCCGCATGTTGACATTGGGCACGTGTTTTACACAGGATGCCCTTCCTGACTCGAACCCGGGCTGCAGCACCATAACCACTAGCCTACCAGGGACGGCTCATAATAATAATAATAATAATAATATTGTTTACCAACATCAGGGTCGTGTTAGATGATGCTTCAGTTGCTGTGTCCATTTTATTACAGTTCTCTTATAGTGTGGTCTTGTAATAGATTCACGTTACACACATATGACCATAATACTGTTGGACTATCAACAAGATATAAACAAATTTTAAACTTTCTCTGAATAATTAATTGGGTTCATTTTTAAACTGATCAGTAAGATTCAACTGTCTAAATCCATCCGTCATCATCATCATCAATTGTTACAGCTATCAAGGTCAATAATCAGAGTTCTGCCCTACCCACCTCTAAAACCTGAGCATGTGATTGGCTGCTGCAGAGTTTGTTAATCGGTTAAGGCTGAATTATTGATCTGCAGTGAAACTGACCTCAGAGGAAGGAGGTGACAATCAGCCAATCAGAACGCAGCTGCTCTGATTTTAATGCAGCTTTTATTTCCAGTAGAAACAGGCGAGCGGGTTCACTTCATCCTGAAATATTCATATGTGAGACTCAGCACAAGGAGGAGAGGAGAGGGGAGGAGCTCAGAGCATCATGGGGCCTCCAGCAGCATAAGTAAGGGAAGGTGTAGTCTTAAAGGTAGAGAGGGCGTCTCTCTCTCTGAGACTGGGAGTTGGTTCCACAGGAGAGGAGCGTGATGGCTAAAGGCTCTGCCTCCCATTCTACTTCTGACTATAAGAGGAGTCATCTTAATTTTAATTAGGTTCTTATGAATAACTCCTCTGGAGTTGATTCTTGATTTATATAATTTAGGTGGGCGGGGGGCAGACACAGTCTCTATGGGGTACTGGGAGCGTTGGGTGGGTAGCAGCTGCAAGGAGACAGCAGAGAGGCGTGTAAGACTGCGACCCTGCATCCTGGACTCAACTCTGGGTTGTCATAATTTAGGTTGTAAAACAAACTCGTCCAGATTTCTAGATAAGAGAGCCGCACCACCCAAAGTGGGATGGATGCCGTCTCTGCTAATCAGACCAGGTTTTCCCCAAAATGTTTTCCAGTTGTCTATGAAGCCCACGTTATTTTCTGGGCACCACCTAGACAGCCAGCGGTTGAATGACGACATGCGGCTAAACATGTCGTCACTGGTCACATTGGGTAGGGGTCCAGAGAAAACTACGGAGTCCGACATTGTTTTAGCGACGTTACACACCGACTCAACATTAGTTTTAGTGACATTTATTACAAGTACCATTATCACTAAAGGAGGCAGAGGGTTAGCATAACAAAGCCATTGCTCTCAACTAAGCTACTAGCTTAGCTAGTTTCTAAGCTAGCTGATCTAAAGTAGCAAGTTAAATTTGGAAATTATTAAGAACCTGTAACACAGGTGCCTAAGTAGTTCAGGCGTATGTTGTGATTAGCTGATGTTCAGATAAACCTAGAAATTAGTGAACTTAATCCGTAATCACGGTGTTTCCTTTCATTTTTATGCGGATGATTGCCAGCTTTACCTACCGGTTAATAAGGTGAGCTCTTCCGTTAGCACACTTCCTGAATGTCTGGATGACATTAAATCTTGGCTTGCTTTTAACTTTTTAAAGCTGAATGAGGATAAGACTGAGGTGATAGTATTTGGTGATTCTGTTGGTTCACCATCTGTTGACTTGGGCTCATTGGCTCATTATAATAAAAAGAATATTCATCTTTTAACAGGTACAAGTAAATATGAACATATCTCTCCAGTTTTGGCCTCCCTACACTGGTTACCTGTCCATTTTCAGGTCCATTACAAAATTTTACTCTTTGTTTTTAAATCCCTTCATGGCTCTGCACCATCCTACTTATCTGATTTGCTTCATTGGCATACACCCACACGCTCTCTGAGGTCAGCAAATCAGTTTCTCTTGAGTGTCCCAAGAACAAAGTGTAAGCTTAGAGGTGATGCTGGTCCTAAACTCTGGAATGATTTACCGCTGTCCATTAGACAAGCCTCTACCCTGTCTGTTTTTAAGTCTCTTTTAAAAACTCATTTATTTTCACTGGCATTTTGATATTTTTGTGTTGATTTTAGTCATTTTTATATTGATTATATGTTATATTGTTGTTTGTGGGTTTATAATTTATACTGTTTTATTCCAATGCACAGCACTTTGGTCCACTGGTTGTTTTTAGTGCTTTATAAATAAAGTTGGTATGGTATGGTAAACAGTTTGGTAGCAGGCACAATAAACAGGAAGTGAATACGATTATAGCAAGAACAGGAAACAGCAGGAACCACAGAAGAAGAGAACACCCAAAATCTGACACACATTGACATTTGTTCAGCATCTTGTCAACATGAACCATACAGAACTAATGAGGTAAAAAAAAAAGTACAGAGTAAAAACGAATCAAACATCTAAACATAAAAACAGAATGCTAAATACTGTGTATGAGGCTTAAATGCTATATATTAATATGTTTTTATTTTTAATGTTGAAGCTGTCAGTGTGTTGATCGGCCTCTTCAATGTGCCTTTGAATGTGGTGTTTAAATATTATTGTTACATGAAGACAATTGTAAAGATGTAAAAACTACAACCACATCCTCTTAAAAAACTGAACTCTGTTGCCAAATACAACTCTGATTTCTGGTTGTGCATTTGTAATGTAGTTGGTCGATGAAAACCATTTACTTTCAGAACATGATTAACATTCCCTTAAACTACAAAACCATTTTTTTTTATTTATCGTCCTACAGATATGAAAATATCAGAATGCATAAACCTGGAAAGGTGTGTTTTCCTGTGAACAGGTTTTCTAAGAACTGTTCATGCAGATGTTTTACAATGTGGGAACTGACAACAGAACCAAAACTGCAATGTTAGTCAAAGCTGTTATTTTGGAGGGGGTTTCCTGTGGACTGGCATACAGGAAGCAAAGCAGCACAGTAAAACTGACAGACTGAATCATGTTTCTGAGAAGTGCAAGTTCCCATCAGTTTGTGTTTTGATACAATAATTAAGTCTGTGCCTTGTTGATAACTCACCATGTGCTTTGATTTCCTCCACTGGCTGTGACAAAATGTACAAGTGACAATGGAGAAACATAGCATTAAGACAACAGTGCAAAGTAAAAAATGTGGAGACAAAAACGTAGGGGTGATATCAAGACAAAAGCTTAGAGATGATAAAACGGACAGTGTTGATCACTTAGAAACTGAGAGGATAAAAATATAAAGTTGATCATTCAGACAAGCTGACGTATAGACATTAATGTAGAAATGATAAGTCAGAGATGATAACGTAGCAGTAACACACTAACGGTAACATACCACTGACAATCCACCAAAGGCAACATGCCAACAGCTTTGCGCCAATGTTAACAGTACCACACCGATGGTAACAGTGGTAACGCGCCAACGGTAGACATACCAGGAGACTCAACAGAACCATGTGATTTAATGTCTGTTGTCACTTATTGTTTCCTATGTCCTGTTCTTCTCTCTCCCTGCAGACAAACGTATCTTGCATCACGCCACCAGTGAGTGAAGCTGCTTCTCTGACAACCAATGAGAGTTTGTCAACATGCGAGCCTCCGTATAATGATGGCCGCCTGCCACTGGTGCTGCTGTACAGTGTTGTGCTGGTTGTTGGCCTGCCTGCTAACATTGTGACAGTCTACCTCACCTGGCAGCAGGTACGCAGGAAGAATGTGTTGGCTGTTTACCTGTGGGGTCTGGCAGTGTGTGACCTCACCTATCTGTTCACACTGCCTCTGTGGGCACACTACATCAACCTTGGTCACCGGTGGCCATGGGGTTGGCTCACCTGCAAGATAACAGGCTACATCTTCTTCAACAACATGTACGTCAGCATCTTCCTGCTCTGCTGCATCTCCCTTGACCGCTATAATGCTGTGGTCTACAGCTTGGAGTCCCGTGGTCTGCGGCGGCAGCGCCCCGCCTTCATCATCACACTCACTGTTTTCCTGTTAGTCGCCATTGTTCACGTCCCTGTCTTCAACATGAAGGAAGGCAATGCCAATGAAAGTGACCAGCGCTGCTTTGAGCCAAATGAAGACTACACCAAGCCAAATCGAGACAACACCACTTTGATGATCTTAGACTATGCCCGCGTTGTGATCGGTTTCCTAATCCCGCTGCTGCTGCTGGCGACAACGAATCGCGGGATCCTGGCCAACGTGCAGCGCAGCACAGGGCTGCAGTACAAGCAAAAGCAGCGAGTGCGCTGGCTGACGGTGGCAGTGGTGGTCCTCTTCCTGGTCTGCTTTGCCCCATACCACCTGCTCCTGCTGGTCAGGACCACCATGTTCCACTTCCCCCAGAAGAACACCTATATGTTCAAGAAGATCATTCACACCCTCTACACCATCTCCATTGGCCTGTCCACCATCAACAGCGCCATCGACCCCATTCTCTACGTTTTGTCCAGCGACAACATCCGCAAGGAGCTGTGCCAAGGATTGACACAGATCTGGGCCCGAGCACACCCGAGATCACGATCTGACAGCAGCCAGAACAAGATCCAGCCCAGCAAGAACTCTTCTGATCAGAAGGCAGGGACTGAGATGGAGAGGCAGCAAGGAGGAAACCCACTTGTGCCAAGGACTGACACAGATCTGGGACCGAGCACACCTGAGATCACGATCTGACAGCAGCCAGAACAAGATCCAGCCCAGCAAGAACTCTTCTGATCAGAAGGCAGGGACTGAGATGGAGAGGCAGCAAGGAGGAAACCCACCAGAGTGTGCTGGTCTCTGAAGGACTCTTTTGGTCTCCACTGGTTTCTGCTGGTCCCTGCTAATGTCTGCTGGACTCAGCTCATCTCTGATCTGGTCTTAGAGTTTGTCCTGAGACTAGAGGAAACATCATGGAGTCACTGAAGGGTGAGCAACGAGACCAGGACCAGGAGCTGGTGAGATCTGTTTCTGCGGACTAAAGGGACGGACACAGGGACTTCCACTAAAATTACTCAGGAGTTTGTTCAGGAAACTGAGGTTTTGATTTTCCAGAGCAAACTGCAGCTGTTTGTTTTTGAATGGCAGAAATGTTGTGTTGTTTATTTTCTCACCAGACACAGTAAAATATTTTCATTTCATCACAGACTAAATGTTTGTCTAGGTCATTTCTCGCCCGAGTCTGGTAAAATGTTCATGAGTCAATTGTCTTCTGAATTAAGACACAGAGTCAGAAACCCAAGTACAATCTGAATGTTCCAGTGCAGTACAAGTATAAAGTCTTCCAGTCTGTCTCTGCTGTCTTCCAGCAGGCAGCAGGGGTTTCCTGTCTGCACCGATATGTCGACAAAACTTTGATCCCGCTGAGCAGTTTACTGTTTTTCACATCACCTGGCTGTCCGTTACCATGACAACAGTCAGGCAGGTGACAGGAAGTGACTGAGAGTCAGTTACAGATCTCTACGTTCATTAACAACAACAACAAATCAGGTTACCCATGTTTACCATGGTAACAGCAGGTGGTTTACAGGGAGGACAGGGGGAGGTGGATTAACACGTTAGATAATTTTGTTGTCAGTTTCTCCATATCCTGGATCTGGTTGTTCTAAGAAAGTCTCACTGGGCTTGTTGTCATGGCAACAAGTCCATCATGTCAAACCTGTTCAGGAGCAGGTTAGTTTTCAGGCTTATTCAGTGTAAACAAGGTAACTTCACAGATTTAAGCGTCTTGGAGCAGGAAGTGACTCAACGACATCAGAGTGATAAGATACGAGTTTAAAGAAAACAGACAGTACTGAGAAATCAACAGAACCCAAACCGTTCTTAATCAGATGGTACCGTTTTAGTCTGGGAGGAAATAGTTTATGCTGCGTTTCCACAATGGGACCCTAACCAGTGGTACACACCGTACATTTCACCATCACCGGGCGTAGCCTCCTGTTTCATTAACTTTGTGTTTGCACACGGTGCTTGTAATGCCAAGACGTGATGAGCATTACTCAGCATGACACGTTTTGGTAGGTTCCTAAAACTGAACCTATAGTGGACTGTTAGTGTCTCGTTTTGAGGGCAGACAAAGAGGAGCTGCACTCAGACCACCACTGACCTAAGGTTCCTCGCCAGGGGCAGTCTTTTATACAGGGTTGTTGATGTGGAAAACTTAATAAAGAAGAGAGTTTGAGCTATTTTAAAAGTGTACCTGGCTCTGAAACTGTTCCCGTGAGTTATCAGAGTCGTGCCTTCTTCCCATGTGCCATAAAAACAAAGGATCTAAAGCTATTATTACAATTTTTCTCAATAGCTGTGGCCAAGTTCATTTACTGTATCTAGGTTACAGTGACTTCAGAAAGGATTCCCACCCCTACATTTTACTACTGTAAATTCATACTGAAATTGAAAAGAAGCACTTGGAATATGTAAGGAGTGAAGGGGTGGGAATCCTTTCTGACAGGACTATGTGTAATTCATAACAGTTGAGTCACTGACATATTTTAACAAATGTCAATATATATGGTCTAGTGACTAGATTCTAGTCACTGGCCGTGAGATTATGCACTTATCTTAGATGACTGAATCCAGCTTTTCCAATCATAACATAGGTGGGAGTTGGAGAACTGAAATATCCGGATAACTTTTAGCTGACATTGGAAAATCCAGAATTGCTCATTTGAGCTAGGATTTGTTTAGCAACGTACAAAGAACACCCCCTCAATCACTACCACAGAAAACAAAGGAGAGCCGCAAACCATTATAACTGAAAAGCTGTAACTAGGGAACGTTTGGCATTTTAGCCTGGAAACGATTAGTGATTTAAAAAGTTGCGGATTAATTTTCTGTCACTTGGGTAGCTACATTACAAATACATCTGAGCCTAGTACAAGGACCACTCATATCCACAGGAAAAGATAAATAAATGATCCAAAACAGAACTTTGTAGTGCATCCAACTAAAGAAAAGCGATAAACAAGCAATAAATGTTAAAATCATAGACAACTGTACTTAATTAGTTGCTGAAATGTGTTAATTATTTGTAGGAAAAGTGCTGTAATGTTTCTCAGAAAAAAGCTAAATGTGGAGAAAATCAAACCTCATTTAAAAACGGTCATGGTTATTGAGGAAAAGCTACAAAGAAAAACTAACAATAACTGTAGTAGAACTGAGAGTAATAGGCGACGTTACAGTGATACCAGTCTGCAGAATATTCTCTTACTTTATTTACCTGTAATCCAGAGATTATATGAAGTAATCAGAATTCAAGTGCACACAAGTTCATCATCTAAAGAGTTTTTAATAAATTAAGATGATTTAGAGGATTGCTCATTTGATGTCAGATCTGTTTAGGTTGTATGAAGAACACCACCTGGATCCTGTACCATAAGATGAGGTCAGTGGCTTATCTAGCCAAGGCTCAGCTCAGGTTTCCTGGCACCACAAAACTGGCTCACTTTTTAATCAGGCTAGATCACATATATTCTTAGGCTTTCCTTAATATTTGAAAGTTATTTCTAGTGTTTCAATAGTTTCTTGTTCTATTCTAGACATGCTCCATCTCATATTGTTGGTACGATCAGAACGGCACTAGGCCCAGATGGTGTGACCCCCTCCTGGCTGAAAGCCTGTGCTGATCAGCTGGCCCCCATCTTCACACTTATCTTCAACAGGTCACTGGAACTGTGTGAAGTCCCCTCCTGCTTCAAACGCTCCACCATCATTCCAGTCCCCAAGATGAAAGAAAATGCACGTGGAACATGCAAGGAGTGAAGGGGTAGGAATCCTCTGACACGACTGGATCTCTGTGGAATTCATAAGCAGTTTGCAGAATATTCTTGTACTTTAATGCAGAGATTAGCTATATGAAGTAAAGGGAATTCATGGCACACTCATCCATTATCTAAACACTTATTAATGAGGATGATCCAGACAACTCGTGCACTGGAATTCCTTTTACTTTGTAACTGTATTGTCCTGCTCCAGTTCATCACTCTGTTGGATGTGCACAGGATTACTATTTACGCATTAAACAGAAATACTACAAACTACGTTGTCATATAGCAGTGGACATGCATTTCTTGCGACATTAAGAATTTAGATGAGCCACTTCTGCATTTAACTTGTCAGCCACTTCCCTTTGCATTTTGCAGTGATGTGCTAATCAAAGCTTCATATGTTTTCATATTCCTCCAGCAGAAGCTCTCTCTGCTGCAGTGACTGTGCTCTCTCTTTGAACATCTGCAGCTGAATCAATCTAGCTTTTAATATCCACAACACAGGTGGAGGTTGAAGAACTGAAATATCTGGATAACCTTAGCTGGCATCCTGTGGTGTGGTCACTGCAACCTGGAGCTGAACACACTCAAAACAGTGGAAATGACAGTGGGCTTTAGGAAAAACCCTGCCATCCACAGCAGTACTGTATCAGCAGCGAAGTCCTACAAGTTCCTGGGCTCCACTATCTCCCAGGACCTGAAGTGGACGTCCAACATCAGGACCATCACCAAGAAGGCACAGCAGAGGATGTACTTCCTGCTCCAGCTCAGGAAGTTCGACCTGCCCCAGGAGCTGCTGATACAGTTCTACAGAGGAATCATCGAGTCTGTTCCCTTTGCATTTTGCAGTGATGTGCTAATCAAAGCTTCATATTTTTTCATATTCCTCCAGCAGAAGCTCTCTCTGCTGCAGTGACTGTGCTCTCTCTTTGAACATCTGCAGCTGAATCAATCTAGCTTTTAATATCCACAACACAGGTGGAGGTTGAAGAACTGAAATATCTGGATAACCTTAGCTGGCATTCGAAAATCCAGGATTGCTCCTTTGATCTGGGATGTGTTTAGCGATGTATGATGTTGAGTACTTGGTGTAAATAAACTGAATAGATACAAATACAATCAGAACCTTTAAAGTTTGACAGATTGTACCTTTAAACTTATCATATAATAATCATTCAATACAAGTCTTGTCCCTGTGCAGACAGGAAGAAACGAAATACAATTAGAACCAGATGCAGCCTTAGAAAATTATATTTTCCCTTAAAGGAAAAAATAAAGTTGTATATGTGAGCAAGATTTAGATTCTCAAATCAGCCGAGAAACATGAAAAAGCAGCAGAATGGTCCTTTAACCAGAAGTCAAAGTACCAAGTAAAAAGAAGTGACCCAACTTTCCGCTGTACTTACGACACTACTTCCTGTGTCAGAAAGATAAACCCTTACACTTTATCTTTGAACATGACATGATCTGAGGTCAGATATGTGTATTGCTGTTCTCAGAGCAGTGCCAGTTCTGACATGTGGATAACCACCTTTATTTGGCCAAGTATGTTACACACACCGAATTCGTTTCTGGTACAGAACCGAGGCAACCATCTGTGGTGCCACCTCAACCGATGGCTCTAACCATTGGGTGCAAGGTGGTACCGAGATTAACCACCTTCCGGTTGGGAGACCACTACTCTACCCACTGAACCAGTCGACCACAACCACCAACATAATCACAACATCAAATGCTGAACACCTTGAAGACTGTCCAGACTTCTACTTAGACAGGGCAGTTACAGAGCACTTCCTTTTTCTGTTTTCATATGTCAGGTTAAAAGACATCACTAGTTCATCTGCAGCTCTGACCAGGAGGGGAAACCAGATGTGCTGTATGGTCAGAGGGTGTTGTGCGCTGTACCAATTGTAAAGGTCTTCAAGGCACATGTGGGATTCATGACATGTATACAGGATAGAGTTAGTGTATGAACACTGGTCACAAACCAGTAATTACAGAAACTAACATGACACAAATGCAGCAGCGTACGGATTCTGACACCCCCGTCTCTCGGCCATGATTGAAACCAGATCACCGTAACATCCCAAATCTTACCTTGATATTTCAGGTTAAGCTTTGGGACTCGTGGCCTCTGCAGGTCTCGTCTCCAGCACTCGGTGGTGGAGGGGGCTTTCTGCCCCCCAGCGACCACCAGGTGTAGGCCAGGTGCATCCCAACACTTGTACAGGTACTAGATCAGATCACAGATTTGTTAAATCAGCTTCACCACATGTGCATCCATCAAAATACAGTGCAGAATTATGGGTAATGCAGTACATTAAACCACAGACTGCAGTCACTCATCTGTATGCTAGTTCAACTCAGGGGAGCATATTTAAATATTCCCAGTTACAATCGGATCAAACGACCGTCTTCCAGTGACAGAGTCAACATTTACGTTAACTGATAACTGTTAAAATGTTTTGTTCTGACTCATTTTAATGAACATCAGGGCTTTTTTAAATAAAATCTAAATGAAATAATTCAGATTAAACCCACTCATTTCAGTTTAAATTTGAGAAGTAAATCCACCAACAAGAAGTGAGATTGGTGTTCTTACGAGAAAGCTTAACTAGTCTGTCTGCACACCACCGTGTGTGTCAACAGGAAATTGCTAAACTGATAAAATTTTGCACAGAATCTATTTCTGTGCTGAGACAAAGGCAAGTTTAAACTGATCTGCTGTCAGTCAGAGCTGAGGGAAAACTAACCTGCAGTTTTTATCTGTTCATAAACTTTAAAACCATCTAAAACAGATGTTTACCTGCACACCTGAGCCCCATGCCAAACAAAGTCAGCTCCACTGCACATTTTGTTCTGTCGCCATGATTTTTGTCTGTATCACCTGGGCCAGGTGCATCTCATGAGTGATGTTTTAATCTGAGCTTGGTGTCAGAGAGGAGCAGAGGTTAACAGCTGGATATCAGTGTTGAAATACAAAGATTTGACCAACAGTTTGTTTTCACAATTTCTGCAGTAAAGTGAAAAACGTGAAATCTGAATGAAACCTGAAGAATTCGACAACTAAAAATGTTTCCGAACAACAACGGAGGTCTGTGGCACAGATGAATCATCTAAACCAGGCTTACTGTTGGTTTTAGTCTCTGTATGGGGACTGTTTCCACTGGAGTCTTTGAGCCGGGTCAGAGGGGTTTCTGTCACTTACAGAATACATACATAAGTATATACAGTATGTTCTTACAGTGTACAAGCACTGCTTTTTGTTGTCCATTATGTTTCTATTGGTTTCTCCAAATGTGCAGCAACAATGAGGATTCAGAAATGAGTAAGAGCAAACCTGTCGGACACAACTGAGGGTTTGATGATTCTTTGAGGCTTGAAATTTGCTCTGAGATTAATTAAATATGACAAAAACACTACAGAGTCTGGTGGAGTGCCCTCTGACATCACTGATGAGGTCACTACGTCAGTCAACACATTTGTTTACATCAATGTTTTTCATATTAAATTTGTTCTGTTGTGATTTGTGGGGGTTTTCTGTGTAGCTGTGTTTTTGTGTCTAGCCAGTTGTCATGTTCTGTTTAAACTTTGATAAAGTTGTAAATAATGGTTGTTAGAAAAAAGTAAAACAGGTGAATTTAGGAGGAAAAAGTGAAGTAAAAGTTATATTCTAAATTAAAAGACCTGTCCAGGTGTTGACTCCTCAAGACACAGAAACCAAGATTGTCTTCAGATTCTTTTATTGCATTTCTGTTTGGCTGCTAATAGGTTTATAATTACAAAGATTCATTAACTGGTGATTTTGGAAGAAACAAAGCAGTAGTGTTCAGGTGTGACCCCCCTCACCTGACTCCACCTGAGCTCAGAGGTCTTTTTTTTTTTGGCGGTGGTGGTGGGGTAGGCAGGAAAGATCATCACGGACACAAAATCAGATTATTTTTCTCCTACAACAACAAAGATGATGACAATGTGCAACTTTGACAAAACTTTAAAATTAAATCATACAGTGTATTTCTATCAGAGTGAGACCTCCTGTTTGTCAAAGGAGTTAGCCACAGTTAACTCAATGGCTAACGGCTTGCTAAAACTCAACAGGAAGTGGCTGAACAAAGAAAAAGAAGAGGTGGTGACTGGTCCCACATAGTCAATCAGAATAAAGGTCACAGCACACAGTCGCTGTCAGTAGGGGTGGGGTTAAAAACCAGGGGCACAGCTTCCCAGCAGGTAAATCCACCAAAATAAAAGCAGCATAAGATGTCTTGCCCCGCCACAATAAAATCATCAATGTAAAATCTAAACTCCGCAGCCTGATTAGTTCATTCACTCCTCCCTCAGATGGGGCCTCAGGGATCAGAGTCCAGGCCGTCCAGGGTGAGCTGGCTGCGGTGGGGGGAGTTGGGGCTGGGAGGGCTGCTAGGGTTGGAGCTGTTGGAGGGGGTCGAATGTTTGGTGGAGTCCGAGTCCCGCTGGGTGAGAGACATTCACAACACAGAGAGAGAGAAAAAGAGAGAGGCTCACTGTAAAGTAAACTGTAGTCTCATCAGTTTCATCTGGACCAAACTAACTTTTAGTTCTGGTTTGTTTCGCCACAGGAAGGCCCAGGTCTAAATTCAGGTACGGAGGTGGGGGCTAGCACTGCCCGAAGGGTTAGAACTTTCTGGGGGGGCCTGTAGCTCAGTTGTTGTAATGCTGCATGTTTCAAACCCCCACCCACACACACATAGTTTCAGATGATAATCAGGACAGAGTGGCTCGAGGGGTTTTACCACAGAGACACGACATGAAATGCCAGCATCTTTCTTTTAATCCATCACATCTACAGGAACATTCCTGTAAACGTTCACCTGTGTTTCACCAACAGAAAACAAATGAAATAAACCTAACTTCTGAAATGATCGACGGACCGATTCTGAAGTGTTACCGTACGTCCTGCAGCCAATCAAATTCATTCTTCCTAATTATTCTCAGTCTCAAGCTCAGCAGCAGGAAGCAGACGAAGGTTCATGAAAGCACCGACTCAGATCTGATGGTGTCAGAAAAATGTTCCAAACTGGGGTGTTACACTCCAATCTGTCCTTTTTTAGTGGCAGTACTACACGTTTGTCGCATGTTAAACTCTTCTGTTAAAACTATTATGAGCCAAGTTCAGCTGGATGTTTACAGCTGTTTATTTCAGTCTGACACGAGTTGTGTTTTTTGTTTAGACCCAAACGACTTGTTTGGATCAATAGAGGAATACCAGATCAGGATTAAGGATTTATGTTGGAAAACCCTTTTAATAAAACTGATGCAGTAACATGTCAGAGCTGAGGACAGACTAGCAAAATAGCTGAGCATCTGTGAGGACACTGGTAACAGCCTTGCAGCGATTACATAAGGATCCCAGGATGCTTCAGTCAGGGTTCAGGCCACGCACAGACCAAAGACAAGTCACGAACTAACAAGCACCCGAACAACCAACGTGCGTTTGCTCATTTCAGTAAATCAAGGGGTCGGCCCATTTCACCAGTCCACTTCAGTCCCTGTCACTGAGTCGCCGTCCAACTAACGAGATAAACTCATCTGAGTCCGTTTTAACTGAATGGGAAACCGACTCCATTTCAGTTTTTATTTAACTGGTCAAAAAATACTTTTGTCTGACAGTTTATATACAATCACTAATATAATATTCTAAAAGTACAGTAGCGGTCACAGATGATGGACACTCCAGTTTTTAAACATGTTACCTCTCGGTCCAGGTCCTGGTCTGGTTCGTTAATACTGCGGGACGAGGCTCCTCCTCCAAAATCTGAACCAACAGAAACACATATTATAGGTGACATTACAACCAAGGTGTGCATGTACCTGAAATTGTACAGATGATGTGTGCGTACAGGTGTGTTTACCTGAAGCTGTACGGGTGATGTGTGTCTTGGATTTCTGTTGCCGGGAGATAGTGGACAGGGGGCGGGGCTTATCTTTAATAGCATCATCCTGAGAGGAGGGCATCACACTCTGCACACAGACATACACGTACACATGTTAAACACAAGCATTAACCACGGACAGGAAGCTGGTTTACACATTGCCGTCCCACAGGAACAGGTCACCATGAGGAGAACACGTCAGTCTCCAGCGCCCCCCGTCCTCATAGTCCTGACAAGAGTTTAACAAATAGCAATATTATTGTGTTTTGTTTCTGCAGCCTGGACTCATGGGACATGTAGTTCCAGGACGTTTCAGACTGCAGGTCCAGAAAAGTCCGGGCTTTGGACATTCTTGCAGAAGCAGGACTGAGGACAGGAGGCGGTGAAAACGTCAGTCAGACCTACAGAGGATAAATTGGACCACAGCAACAACACAACTTCACATGAAACGATGATCTTTAAACGTAAATGCTCTGCAGACCTATGGAGGCAGGCTGAAGCTAAATGCATTCATCCACAGACACACACACACACACTTCTCCACTTCTTCTCAACATTTCACTGGTAAATCTGACCTGATAAAGCTGTCATGTGTGCCATCTATCATATAAATATTTTGTTATACTGTGCAAATGGTTGAGTGTTTGATATGAAAACTGGCAGGTTTCATTTACCAAAATATCCTGCATCATAGCTACACATCTTGGGTTTGTAACAAACCAACTAGCTGGAAAATCAGCTGTAAATTCGGTGGGTTATGATGATTTTAGTGCGGGTAGACCTCCTCCCCTCACACATTCATGCATTAGGTGGCGTAGCCTCGGCGGTCACAGTGATGCACTGCCTTAACAGACAGAAGTGGCTCATGCGCCATCTAGGGTATATAGCTATGAGTCTTGAGGGAGGCTGCCATACTGGCTCTCTCCCTTTGTTCTCAGACACAAGGACGTGACCTTGGAGACGAGTGGGTTGCCACTTTAGTGCTTCTTATGTTGATTCTCTGACACACGCGCCCACACATATGCACACAAACAGTACATACATGCATTCAAAAAGGACACATACAGTCATAGCCAAAAATATCACATTCTTTGGTATTCTCATGTTTATCTTGTCGGAACAACACAAAGAAGAAGAGAAAAGGGCCACATCTGGTCAGTAATGCACAGAACTCCAAAACCGGCCTGGACAGAATTACTGACACCTTTTTCAGCATCTTTAGAAATCAGCCTGTGATGCTCCTTTAATTTGTAATGAGACTCACCTTTACCAACCAACAGGTGCTGGCAATATAGAAATCCCACTGACAACCAGTTAAAACTGAGAAAGGGTGACTCATCCTTTGTGTGGTGTGGACCACACTGAGCACGGAGAAAAGAAAGAAGAACAAAGAATTGTCAGAGGATGTGAGAACCACAATAGTGGAACAGCCTGGACAGTCTCAAGGCTCCAAGTCCATCTCCAGAGATCTGGCTGCTCCTGTGTCCACTGTGCACAACACTGTCAGGACCTGGACCAGCTGGCAAAAGAAAAGTGGTCCAAAGTTCCTATAGAGGTGGAAGAAACTCACTGACGGATACAGGAAGTGACAGGTTTCAGTTATTTTGTCCAGAGGGTGTGCTGCCAAATATTAAGCCGAGGGTGTCAGTGATTCTGTCCACGTCCATGTTTGGAGTTCTGTGTGGACTGTGTCCGACCTTTTCTCTGCTTTGTGTGTCGTTCCAATGCAAACAAAAGAAATAAACATGAGAATACTAAAGAACTTGTGATGGTGACAACTTTCTGGGAGAAGTGGTGTGTTAACTGACAGAAATGCAGCGGTGCCAGTATTTTTGGCCATGATGGTTCACCTAATCCCACCTAATCCCACCTAATCCCACCTAATCCCACCTGTGCATCGTTCAGCACCATTTCTGCCTGGTGTCAGATGTGCTGTTGTCCAACTCAAGCTTCACATTAGAATAAACCCTGTTACACCCTCATCACTAGTGTTTACTGTGGTTTTGCTCCAATATCTTTCAGAGCTTTTGAAAGATTCCTTCCTTACTGTTCCACTGGTTATAAACCTGCTTGTAACACAGTTGTAGCTTAAACACTAATCATTTTAATGGACTTTCCATTTTTGGGGTTAGTCATTTTATGAGATTTTGAGACCTGAATCTGAAAACACCTGCAGTTTGCTGGTCTCTAAAGTAAGGCTCAGCAATTACACCTACACTGGCACTGACTAATGCTGCATTCAGGGCACATCGGAGTATTGTAATTTCCAGTGTCCAACTTGTCAACAGTCCTCTCATCAACATCCAGGTTTTAAATTGTGAAACTGAATTTCCTGGAGTCTGCAGCTGTTTTGTGATGCTCACAGGTCACATCTGTAACACCTGGACGCAGCATTAACCAGATAAAGCGCAGACAGAGACACCACTGTAGACCAGACGAGTGAAGGGGAGCAAGGGGAGGCAGATAGAGAGAAGCTGGCCTACCCTTCCCAGAGAGGAGGTGGAGGGAGAGGAGGAGGAGGAGGAGGAGGAAGGCTGCAGGAAACTCTGCTGGGAGGAGGAAGAAGAGGAGGCTCCTTTCTGCAAGAAGGCGCCGGCCGATGCCGACGTCATGTGATAGACGTGCTCAAAGTTGGAGGGGGGAGAGATGAGGGTGTGGCGGGAGGAGGAGGAGGAAGGGGAGGGAGATGGGGAGGGAGATAAGGAGGTGATATCACCAACCTGAACAATCAGGGAGGAGAAGGAGGAGGAGTAGAGAAAGGTGAGATGAGGAGAAAAGAAAGGAGGAGTAAGTGTGATGAACAGAGACATCAGCGGGGAGAAGGGAGAGGAGGTGAGGGAGTAGAACATGCCGGCAGGAGGTGACAAAGAGGCACAGTTACCAGAGGGAGGTCCATGAGGACCTGCATCCCGTCTCCTGGTCCCATGTGAGCCACGTGGTTGAAGTTTGTCGGGTTTGAAATCATCTTGGACCTCAGCTCCGGATCTCGCAGCATCTCCCTGAAATACAAACATCATACGTGACACAGGCATGTGATGGTAACACCGCACATACAGGCGTGAGAAAAACTAATGGCACTGTTTGCATTTCCTGGTTTTTTACATAAATCGGTCATGAACTGTGCTCTGATCTTCACCAAATACAACATTTCTAAGCTGATAAAACAACCAGTCCTGATCCTTCATGTCTTTATTGAACACATTAAACAGACACAGGGATGTGGACAAAGTCACAGCAGCAGTGTTTTAATAACTTACTTAGATTGTTTATATTGTTAATATAATAATAAACGTGAATCCACGGTGTTGAAAATTTTAACTCCCCATAACGCTAAATCAATGGGAGCCCTGAGCTCGTTTCTCTGCAACGAGACGGTCCCATCTGGGGGTAATAGGAGACAATGACACCCGAAGTGTGTTGCTTATGTTCAGTCTACTCCGTTGTTTTGTTTTGGTTGCTGTCACTGCAGAAAAACCCGCTTCACACAGATAGGATGTCGGAAATGGCAACAGGGTTTTCAGTGCTGTGGTGGCGATCTCAGGGTATTCTGTCATGACTTTAATCCAGAACACCGGCAGAGTTGTTGTCTCGAACATACTGTAATGGTTCTGATGTCTAGCCTCTAGTTATATGGTTCTGTTTTACATTCTATTATATGGTTCTACATGTTATTGCCTCAAAGAATGTGAGAGGGGGCGCTGTGAGGGGTGTGGGAGGAGAGAGCGAGGAAGAGCAGGCAGTTGTTGATGTTGTTGTGGAGTGTTGAATGTTGGGAGTTTTCCAAAGAGAGCTTGTTAGCGTGTGCTGTGGCTAAAACAACAGCATCGAAGCCTGTTAAGTGATTGCAAATAAAAGGACATTGATACCGCAAGAACGTCTGGCTGCTTGTGTAGGAACGGAGAGTATTACAATACTGTAATGACCCTCGGCGTGGAGGATAGAGACTAGCTATACTGAAGCAGCTAAACTAGCTGGCAGGGCGCCCGCACCCATGCCGATCTCAGTTAGTGACTACTCCAGGTTCCATACACCGCACGACTCTGGATAGCACTTGGACGTGTCCTTTATAATGACCACAATGCAACACTGACTTCTCGGTCATTTATTTAGAAATCAACTCAGATCAGATCAGGTCTCCTGAACAACCACATTTCCAACAGGGTCAGTCTCACACATACAATTCAGACTTACGGTTCAAAACATAGCACACAACCAACTAGCAAAACATCGTTAAACAACACATCAGTATAAGTCAGTAACATCAACATACAGCGGGATAACACATTAGAACACTTTAACAACAATTTTACAACTGCTCTCCAAACTAATCACTGAACTCCCATGATGCCCCCCACGCATCATGTCGCTGCCACCAGACCCCTCCCCAATAGCCGACGTAGGTCGTCACAATACTTTTAAGGCCGCCGTCATTTGCGATCTCCAGCAGTTGATCTTCTTCTTGCACAGACCTGCTGGATTCACCTGGTTTGTTGACAAATGGGTTGCGGATCCATTCCTTGGCAGTTCGTGGGTCCTTTGTGGTTGGGAAGTAGCGCTCGAACTCTTTTAAAAGCAAAGACAGGTGATCGTGCACCAGCTGGGAGAATGAAGGCTCAGGCTCAGTCTCACCCAAAATCCCCACTAATGTTTGAAACATGTCCAAAATGCCTCTGTGGACGCGCCGTCCCCACAAATCCAGTTTGGCTTTAAATGCAACTACTTTATCTGCCAACTTGAAGACAGTTGTCATTTTCCCCTGAAGTGACAGATTGAGTTCATTAAGCAGGCTGAATATGTCCACAAGTAAGCCAGTTTTGGCGCTCAAGTAACCGAGAGAATACGGTCATTTTTCAAAATAAAAGATCGTTCAGACTCAGATAATAAATAAAACGGAAATAATTAATGATTTCTTGTGCGGCCCGGTACCAATTGATCCACGGACCGGTACCGGTCCGCGGCCCGGGGGTTGGGGACCACTGG